TATTATTCTCTGCAATGACAACTTAGACCGTTGTTCTTATGTTTCTTTCAATTTAAATAGGAGAAAAAGTTTTCGAAAAATAAGAAAGTTAATTTACTGGATCCGATGGATTCAAATTTGCTAATACAGTGATAATTAAGTTTCATGGAGTTATCAGTGATACAGAAATGACACTTTTATGTGTGACCTTAAACCGATATCATGAAACTTCGATGGGAAATTTTTCTTTAGTCGAATAACAAACGCTTGGAACTATGCATTCAATTAGTAGTTCTTTCCATTTTAAAATAGATTAGGAAGAAATATAAATTAATTCAAATCCTCTGTGTTCCAGTGAATAACTTTCAGAAGATAGAAGATACTTCATACTATTTGTACTTGCAGCAATGCGCAGCGCAAACGTTGTCGTCGTTGCTGAAGTGCAATGTACGACATCGATTAATTCTGATCTTCGAAATCTCAAATAGAATTTGTTCTGTATCAACTCATATCTATCATTAAAATTAGCTCTTATTAGAATTATTAATTACAATGCAACGAGAAGTGATGCTCTTTGCATATCACTGACGCAATAGTTACAAAAGAAAGTTTTTCATTCAACTTTATTTATCCTGGCAGAGGTCACGAGCATAAAAAGCGCGAAAAGTTTATTGAACCTTATTCTACCACTCATATGTTAATCAAACCGAAGAAATGAAAGGCTGGAAAACAGATGAACTCATTCATTTATTTTTTTGAAATTTTTTTGCAATCTTTCCATTACCACTCAGTTTGTCGTTCTCGTCTCTATTAGTTTTACATTTGCAAGGTATCGAGTTTTAATGTTTCATATGGGATATTATTATTTCCTGTTGTTGAAAGATGTGAATGCTTTTATTTTCCATGATGTCGCAAAGATGAGCCATTTATGGTTTTAAGGAGGTTTTCCTGTGTCGCATCAGCAGTTCAATCTGTTGCTTTCACTAATTCCTGTTCTAATTTAGATGAAAAAATAATGTTTAATTTCATTTTCCAGCCTTTTTATCACTTCATAGCTCTTGTTTCTCTTCATGATCATAGCATTAAGCAGCATTCTTCGGCACCCACTGATACACTTTCATACGAATCCCTCATTCTCGAATGACATTTATTATTTAGTCCTAAAATATCAAGAGTGAATAAGTTGACTTGATTAATGATTAAATCAAAGTTAAGAGAAATTTGTTAAAATGACAAGGACGGAATGAATGATGGATTGAGGATAGTTTGGGAAAGTTATAACCATCAATCATAGCACCCTGTCCTGTTCATCTCTGTTCTACTGTTTTTCCTTCACTTATTTGTACATTCTCGAGCATATTTCAATAAAATTTTTGCTCATTTTCTGATAGGCCAATAATTCGATTATAATTCATGTCACATCAGTTATAAGTGTTTATCATTGGTTTCACAATCTTATCACTAATTAGAAAGCGAAACTGTTCCACTCTCGGCAAATCGAAATAATAAAGTACTTTACCAAAGTCTTACACTCTTGTTAAATTTTCTTGACTTATACTCCAGATATCAGATCAATTCATGCATCAATGAAAGTAAACTTCTTTGTAAAACGGACTTCAGGAAGATAGCACTAATTCTGTCTGATTGATAAATAAACTTTCCCTTTATAGAAAGCAATTTAACGCTAACTAACAAGGTGATAATGTCGGTTATAACGAAATGAACAATTCATATTAATAGATTATATTTTCTTATTGGTTTAATTAGTGAAACGGATGGACATTTATAACACTCTACAACAAAGGCTCGAATTACAAATTTTCATCCCTTTCAGGATTCTAGTTTGTTAAAAAGTGGGCTAACTTATTCTATTCTATTATAGTCTTAGGATTTTCCGAAAAGTTAAGCTTTAAATGAATAATGAATCGAGTTCTATGTTTTCACAACAATCCGGTAGTGAACATAAAGTACCTCAAAGTAAACATTGTAGGGATTGAAGGCCTGAAATTTTGATGTCATATCTTTAAATTAGCAATTCCAAACCTATTCTTAACCAGGAAACATTTTGGCTTTTTTATTTGTAGCATTAACCACCAAATTCTATTAATTTGAAAAGAAACTTTGATCAAAAGTTTTCATGTATTAGTTTATGAAATATTGATAAGAACAGCAGCCCCCGCTTCTCTTCTACATACCGCATCATCGTCCTTACGGATCATCGGTTGGGAACCACTATGTTAGACAGACTGTGGAATTGCTGTGCATTCCCAATTCGCTTGGAAATCCAACAGCTCTTTAAATAATGCCCAAGACTGGGAATACACGACCGCTAGTCTCGGGTACATTCCAAGAAAATAGTGTAGAAAGAGAGTAGAAATCGTTATTCAGTGATAAAAATGAATGTAAAATAGAAGGACCAATGAGAGAAGCAGTTCACAGACAGCTAATGAAAGATAAAGAATTTTAAGAGGGCCAGCAAAGTGTCAAATAAAAGGGACACATGCTGCTGCAGGTAAGTATTTGTTAGTGACAGGATACGATCAAGTGAGGCAGGCAGAATGAATGTTAGAGAGTAAAAGTTTCGGGAAACGAAGACTGATAAATAGTATGGAAATAGCGTTGATCTTCGAGGTGCATATGAACATTTGTGATAGGGAGCGACCGTCAGCGTATATATGGCTGTGGAGAGGAGTGGAGGGTGATTGCGCCGTCGGTATGAAAATTGAGGGGTGGCCTTATTTGGCACAAATTTTTAAAAGGTGGCGAATTCTGCAGGAGTCTCGGTAATGTGAAGAGGGGAAGAGATAGCTGGCTGGTAGGCGTCTATTAGCTCATCATTGGTCGATCGCTTATGAAGATTGATTGATTAATTGCAGGGAAGCGGAAATGTTCTAGAAAAAGACTAGATGGGACAAGGACAACGTTCTAATGATTGAGCGTTTCTGGAATAAAATATGGCGGGATGAGAAGAGGCGGGGAGAGCCAGTGTCCACTCATTTAGACCCGCTCATTTGGCAGTACAAAGCACAGTAATCTTGATGTAATCGCCGATCATCACCGATAATAGTAAAGAAGGATAAGCCCTAATTACCATTTCGGATGGTTGTTGGGTAGGCAGTAGTCACCATTACATTTCTATCTCATCATTTGAACTAGAGGGAAGGGGGTTCATCTATTTCTCCTTCCTTATCCTTCTCTCCTTTCATTTAGCGCAACAGGTGTTCTGTGCATTGTGTCACCAACTACTGTGCTGTGACAGCTGCTATACTTTGTTTTTCTTTAATTAGCTGTAAATATTCATCTATACTTCTTTATTTAAAGGCATGTCTGGAAGAATGTCTCTAAATTACCGATCATTTCCAACTGTGATTTCGTCATTGCCAATTGCTCCTTTTGGTGTTCACAGTTTTCCTAATTGGAACTGAAAAAGTGCTAACTGTTGTTAATGAGAATCCATAGAAGAAATCTTTGCTTGAAAGCTGAAAAAACGAAGGCCTTTCAAGATTTCTCTTAAGTGGTCGATATATCTAAAAAATCAATGACATTTGCCGTGTCATACTCATAATAGAACTTGAAGTGAACAGTACTCTGCTCTACTATACATGAGCTACTCCTTTCATATTGATCAAAATCTCTGCGAAATTTAATATGTAATTCTATATCCCTCAACACTATACCTAATGTTACCTTTTTCATCCTTACATTAAGCTTATCCTTAGTTAATGGCACTTATTTTTGGTTACAGAGATGTAAACTTTTTTCTAACATAGAGCGTAATGAGATTTTGTCCCCAGCCGCTATGATTTCCTTGTTCCAATCTGCAGAAGAATCTTTTCAAATACTATCTTCTATTTACAACTTTCTTGACCTTTAGAGAACTGCACTTCTTATGAATGGCTTATATCATCTCAATTTTGAGGTGAACGGTGTAATGGAGTAACTAAATGCTAAAAAAAACAGTAAGTCAAACAAGTCTGTCGAGTAGTCTAGCAATCTTATCACTCACTATCTTTCGATTGGTACACAAAAACAGAGCCACTTACTTTTCCACCTCAACTAAAGTTATAGTTCATCATTAAGCTTCACATGAAAGTTCGACACATACACTTCAAAAAAGTACATATTTCAATAGCGAGAGGAGTTTTTAATAAAGTTATTAATCAGGAATTGTCATACTTCCGACGTCTTTAGATTCGCAGATCTAGTTTTTCTGGACAACACTAAGTGGTCATCTGCCACGAGTTAGGGAAGATGAAGGTCTGAGCTTAACCTCCAAAAAACTTGGGACCATTTGTACAGACGAAAAATCTCTTGATCATAAAGCTTTACATTTTCTGATTTGCAGCAAGAATTTTTGTCACCGAGTTAGTCTTTCAAATGAAGCTTTGTATACCAACTCAATATATCAGGTTTAGTGAATTTTGTTCGATAGCATACGTTGTATTTGATTGGATAATATTTTGGAGATCTATCGAACTCTCAAGACAAACCTGCCAACATCATAAATTTCTTTTCCAGAATTTTTCTTACGTTTTTTTCAAAATAAATTGACTGCAGGTAATATTGGCAGACTTGTCTTGAAAGTTTGACCATAAATATCGTCGAATTAAATACAACGTATGCTATCAAATATAGAAATCACTAAATGGACAACCCATTGTAATTCTGGATTACAGATGATTACTGCGCTGAATGCATTCATTATCCGTTTTAGTGGGTAAAAAGCACTTTGCACTGTTTTCTAAACGTCCTAATTGAATGAGGTAGAGGCTCGTCAATAAGTATTTAGAATGAATAATGCCTCCCAAACACTTTCTTCATCTAACAGCCGTTTTGTTCCAAAAAAAATGCAGCAGCTGGAGGATGACACTATGGAGATAAATATTTCCTTCTTTGAAGCTTGAGGAGCGGAAACTCCCATAAATAAGATGCAAATTAAGTCCATTTAATAAAGTAAAATAAATGAGCAGAATGTATGCAAACTGATATGAAATTCGACTGATGACAATAGTGGACGACAAATGCACTTATGCTTTGCTAAACCCCAAAAAAAAATTGGGATTAATTCGCGTCACAATTTTCACAGCGATCCAACTGCGCAATTAGTGGAAAACAACATTGTCTCGCTGGAGGACAGTTTGGTTTGGCCAATTTTCCGTTGGAGTTGTATCTTGGCTCTTGAACTGCCCTGTTTTTCAGGTGGATGGCCCTGTTTTTCAGGTGGATGGGGTGGGTCTTCTTCGGTATGTGGAGGAAGTTTTGACTGTCAAAGTGGTTTGGGAGATGTCATTTCATGATTCTACTCGCTTTTATCATGTCTCTTCGGGATGTCATATTCCCATAGTTTCATCTTGTTAGATTATTGATAAGTATCATCAGGATGAAAGAGTGCCTCAAGTTAGTGCGAGTGCAAAGTCGAACTTCACTAATTCAACTAATCTCCGATTTTTATGGATTGCATTCTTCGGCGATGAAAGCCTAAGTAGGGTTAGTCACTGGTTGCATTCTAAAAACCTCATTCATGTCCCAATTAAGGTTTCGCTGGCCGAGGGATTTATTCTGGAGCAGTAATCTGGAACTTTTTCAGATACAGTTCTCACTTAAAAACAAGCTACTTTTCGTCCCAGTTTTCTCCCCCCTCCACCTCTTCCCCACCTCTCCCTTTGCGTTCTTGACCGCTTGATCATGTGAGAAGTCATTATGTTTGCTAAACTTTATGGCCATTTTCTGATCAAAGGTTCGTAAAACAATTGCGATTATCAGTATATAAACGAAAATGGGAGATATTATGCGGTGAGTTGTTGAACATAATGAACAATATCTGGGGCAGTGCAGACCAGATTATGATTAAGTTTGATGAGATCACCTCCAGTTATATCACTTTTCCGATTTGAAGTTTAGGTAGAGAAAAACCATAATCCACTTCATCCTTACTCCGGAAAAATACCTTGGCTATCGGCCTATAAAGTTGGTTTTATTTCGAATGTTGAGAATGAAATACTATATGAACAATTCGTAAGAATCTGTAAGTTCTGTAATAGTTCATAAGAACTTTTCCCTCACATCTCTACTGTTGATGGGTGTATTCTTTCAGTTTCGTTGAACCAGTAATATGATAAATGAGTTATAATAAAGTGATAATCACCAATGATAGCAGTTAGTCGGCAAGTAGTATTTACATTATGAATTGATAGAAAAATACGTCGCAATTACGGAAATAGAAACTCGTGAAAGAGCCGATGTAGTTATCTTCATTTCTTCTGAGATGGTTCTTTATGAGTGTGTGCTGTACTTTTTCTCCTTCCCGTTTTATAATCAATGGCTTAATGGAACCATTGATTATCAAACGGAACAGAGAAACACTTTCCTACACAGTTTTCTCTTTCCGATTTAAATACACTATTTGCACTACATCGTTACAATACTTCTCTTTTTCAAATTTTGATTGAACTCACCTTCTTTTTGCATTATTTATGATTTAAATAGGAGTGAAGAAGATAGTTGTTATTGGCATTTAGCGTTTCATTGTTCTTTTGCACTGTTGCATTATGGTTCAAAACTCTTTTTCCATTTTCAGGCTATTATGGGAATCCTAAAAAACTGTATTGCTTTGTTATCGTTATCGAATTGACTATTACTTAATCAAAAATGTTGGAATTTAAAGTGCCAAGCTTGACTTAATACTATAATCATGTTCTACTGCATTGAACGTTTTTTTTAATTCTTACAGTGAGAGATAAAGGATTTGATTGAGAAGTCGACGGCAGGAGTCCGTTTTGCGCGAGCGATTAGTTTTACTTGGCATTTTCGTTGTGGACCGTGCTCTAGTCTTCTTATTCATAATCGTCTTGTACTGGCCGTTTTATTGCAGTGGATTCAGTAACTTGCTTGAAGTATGCAGTTATTTCAGCATGAATTATGGATCCATTAGATGGACAAGACGTCTATGCAGCAGAAAAAATTTTGAAATCGCGAACGAGGAAAGTAAGTGAATACTTTAAACATTAGTAATACACATTAATCTTTCTTGGACCATCTCAGCCTAGTCCTACAAATCATCTTGACAGTGGGAAATGATCCAAACACGCGTACCAATACTCTCACTTTAGAATTCAGGCTTTTAATGAAAGCGGAATAGTTTCTTTAATTCTTCGTATCTGTACTCATTTCCTCATTTTGTCCCTTACTATTTCTGCTTTCGTCTTCCTTTCTCTTTCCATGCATTACACATTTCTCAATTCTTCATCTGCGTCGGAGATATAAGTTGCCGAAACTTGTTAAAATAAATGTTTTAACTATCATCTGTAATCATCATTTTTATTCGAATTCAACTGAAAAAAATTTTCCTGAATACGAAATTTCAAGACTACCACTGGACGATGATGACAATATTTTTGGAATGTTAAAAGAGTCAAATTGCACATTTTGGAAAAAATTGTATTTGTATTTAACCTACATAAATTCATATTTAATCTATTAGTATTATCAAAATATTTTATGAAAACAGGCATCTAACAAAAGTATTTTCGTTAATGAGCCGAATAATAAGCGATACTGTACACAAGATGGTCATGCATTGGTCGAAAATATTTTAGTAAATCGTTGGATGAATTATTTCGAGCATGCAGCTCATAAAATTTCTGCGATATTCTTACTAAAAAAATATATATAAATCACCTTCCTGATTATTCGCTAATAACTCCTAATATGATTTTACGGAACATTCAAAAAGCATTTTTCTATTCATTATGTCATAATTAACAGTTTCAAGCCAATCATCGTTTTTGAAAACTTGTAATTTTCATCGTGTTAAAAAAGAAAAAATGCTTGTCAGACTTGTAAATACAGTATCTCATACAATAATATAATATTAACTCACATAATAATATAAACTGAAACGAATTACTTTCGAAAAACTGAAACATGCGAAATTCTCCGCGATTTCTTCCATAAAAATTATGAACATTTATTGAATTGTCGCGGAATATCTGTTAAATTTTATGTGCTAGCTTTTGCATTTTATGTCTTTTTTTGTAATTACATTGGATCTCAGTAAGCTTTTTGAAACCATTATAGGTGGCGGTTTCATTTACATAGTTTCAAGTATGCTTATTTGATTTCGATACGGTAATGAATAGGTTTATTTTGAGAATTTTATTGATTTATGCATCCGCCCAGTTAGTTTATTGAGTTCCCGTGATATTTAACTACTAATATTATGATCGCAGATTAAATAGTTTAAAATCATAAAAAAAACTGCAGTGAAACTTTTTCTAATTTTTTAACGTTTTCTTCTACTTATTTTTGCTTTTTAAGGGGAAAACAGAATATCTGATCAAGTGGAAAGGATGGTCAAATCAGTAAGTTGCCTTTAGTCCTTAATATCTTATTGCTTAGATATCGTTTATTGCTCGGACATATTCAATTTTGTCCAAAATAATTCACTTTATTACGCTGTGATTAATCAGTTCTTAGACATAACACGTGGGAACCATCAAGTAATATCTTGAATGAAAACTTGTTCACGGAATCAGGTTTTCCCATACCAAACGGTTTCAAAGGTGGAACTCGGAAGGGAATTAGAAGGTCAAATCGTGGAAGGAAACGGAAAGTAAAAGAAATTTCGGATTCCGACGATTCAGATGGCGACAATCAAAGTTATGATGAGGGTGCCAGTGAAAGAAGTTCAGAAGGTATATTCTGCAGCACTATTCACTGGTTTTTTCCCATTTTATTGTTCCTCTTTTCCAAGAACTTGAGTATGCCGCTTTATGTGAATATTACTACTTCAACAATTTTTGTAAATAATGCATATTTCTTGCCTCTTTAAGTCTGATTACCAAAGCACTAATCGTTTTTTAAGGCTCAGAAATTTCACCAAGGTCGAGCATTCATTCAAGGCCCGGAACACCAGTAACTCTGGCAGAAGAAGCTATTACAGGAAACAACAAATCCTTGAAAACGCCTCGGAAACGAGGCCCGAAAAGTAAAAAGATGTTAAACGATATACCAATGGCTATCCCAGTTTCAAAAACCAACGAAGTGAAGGATAATGATGACAGCAAGTTAGAACTCAAGGAAGAGAAGTCGGATGAAGAACAAGGAGCTGAAAAATCATGGGAAATGGGAACTGAGAAAGAGTTGGATAAGGAGGAGAAAGCAGAATTTAGGGTTTGTTTAAAACTGTGGAAAGATTTTGCTAGAGATTTGTATATTCGATGCAAACAATAATTGAAGGACGATCATAAATGTTTACTCTGTTCGCCATGTGTTCCACTCATAATTAGTGATTTTATTTTTTTCTTTTGCATTGACTGTTGCAAGGTTTCGTCCACTTTTTTCTTGATTCTTGCACTTTGCAAATGTAAAACTTCTTATCTCTCTCCTCTTTTTTCCACTCATAGCTCCCTTTTGCTTCTTTATTGAATTTGAAATTCGTTTTCACTGCAGTGTATTCCGTCGGAAACGAAATTGAATTTATCAGAAACTGGCAAAGTTGGGAAGGATGACTCTGCATTATCAGAAGCTGAAGTATTCAGGATCATCAAAGATAATGAAAGCGGACCAGTTGAACAGAAAAACACGAGACGAGAAGTTGAGGTAACCCACTTACTTACTTTGCTCATGTAATTTTTGACGAGGGGATAGTACATTTATAGGACGATAAGCAAAATAAGTTATAATTCATATTTTGTCTTCCCGTTATCTATAAACGACAGTAGTGTTAACAGTTTGGGTAAACCGCTGAAAATCTCCATTCTGCTCTAATTTGATATGCTTGTGTCCCATCACATTCCAAGACTTTAAATCTTTGAAGTTTATTAGAGCAGGGCAAAAATTGTTGCTATTTTGCAGGTAAAACTGAAGAAACCTGAAGTTTTTGAGGGTCGATCTGGATCGGTGCAAGTCGTTTCTAATGGTCAAGGTGAATTCAGCTTTAAAGATTTGTTTTACTTCATCCACGTTCAGATTGGTAGCGCGAAATGAAGGCTTACTCAATGTTTATATATTTGTTTGTATTGTATGTGAACTCGGATTTTTGAGAAAAATGGATTTCTATTACATGGATCATTCATTACTACTTCAATTCAAAACCTTCTGGTGAAGGATTGCTTAATTTTTGATCGGATGAATGGAAGACAAATTGACTTGTAAAGTTAACGTCAATTATGAAGCGGATATAAGAGAAGTTCGTTTTTTAGAGCAGGTAATCAATAGACTGGCATTTGTTGTTGAAGGAACATCTGGTTTGTCTCAAAGTTCGGAGCAGTTACAGCTACACGACTATGGGGACAATGATGAAAGCCGGATTCGTGTAATAGCCGACCAGTTAAAGAGTGAAACTGTTAGTTTTCAGAATCTGGTTAATGCATCTTTTGATATGTTAGTGGGGGCTGGGATCTGTGGTAAAACAAGAAAGACATATTGTTAAACATTATTTTACTATTGTGTTTAAGGAATTTCAGTTATAACTCTCCTGTACACTCTTCGAAAATATGATATCGATCGCTTCCCTATACTGTATTTTCAGTTATAATGGAATAAATCATGCTGAAGTTTTGCTGCATTACAGAAAATTTGGACAGATGCTAACAATACGCGCTTCGAAAGTTTTCAGTACAATGGTTCTCATACAATCACTGAAGTAACGGTCAATCAGCATACAGTCCCAATTATTGAGTTATAGCCATATGTAAAGCCATTTAACTTGCTGATATTTTTTATTTGTCTTTGGGGTATTTAACGTCCTTAAATACATATTCCACTTCTTAAAATCTTCCAAATAATAATAGTATAGTAATTTTTAGTAGCTTCTTATACATTTTCGAAAATATTGTACTTCAAAATAATAACAGCATAGTAATTCTCGGTAGTTTTTCACATTTTCAAAAATATTGTGTATTTATCTAAAAAATATTTATCTTCCACGATTTCAAATTTGACCAAGTTTTTTATTAATATTTACTCAATAGGCGTTGTGCACACTGGTTGAAGTCTGATTGGAAATTTACTTTCCATTAGCTGCAATCTTTCGATTATCAAAGTTCCTTGCAGTTTTGTAGCCTTAGTCATTTTCTTTTGACAGTTCCTCCAATACTTCTGTATTATTTATGTTCATGTTTGATTTTCCATGCCAAGTAGTTCTGCCGATAAAACACAAAACCTCTAAATAGATCTGAAAGTCGTAGGATTAATTTTGGGAAACTTAACCAGTTTTACATCTCCGTAGATTTGGATAGAGCTTTCGATATTCAAAATGCGCAAATTATCGATATTCTAGTAATGCGCAAGCAAATAGCTCTTTTAAATTACTGTATGTACAGATATATCCTTCAAAAAGGGCATTTCTTTGCAACGTCAGAAGATACTGTAGTTCTGGTAGATACATGGAACTTTTGAATATCAGTACATACTGGCAATTTGTGTATTAATATTCCAGTGCGCTAAACCGACTACGCGCATTGTTTGGCGAACTGCCTGGAAATAAACCAGTTTTTGATGAAGAATTCTGCGCAGACCTTTATTATTCGTAATGTGAGGATGAGCTGTTTGGACGTTTTGTAAGAGTGTTTTCGTTGTAAAGGACTGAACCCATTTGGGTAGGATGATGGAATAACTGACAGCCACATAGTGATGATGTAAAGGTGCTCCATGATAGAAGAGGAATGTTGTACTATTTCGAAAAGGGAAAGGAAAGAGGAAAGTGGCTATTGCATTGATTCAATCTGATTGGGGCTTAAGCGGAATTCTCTGAAGAAGATATGTTGCATCAGCGGAACAGCAGCAGCAGCAGCAGCAGCATCTAAGGAGCACAAGTGCTAACATTGCACAATGGGGTAAAGCGCTAAGAGTCCTTGTCAGCTTTGTAATAACTGGTTGACAGTATGGATAGGATAATATTACACTCATCTTTTAATTGACTTTTTTCAAATTTTATTCACTCAACTTTTGAATATATCGGTGGAATTTAATTGAACATCACATAAGACCAATGTGACTAGATGAAGAAAATTCCAGCTTACTGTTTAAGAGAGTACAGTGATTTCTAAAATTTTAAATGAAATAAAATCGTGAGAAAAGGTTGCTAAATTTCATTTGATAGTGCGGTGAAAACAAATTATCATTAATTAAACAAGGTGGTGCTTGGATTTGATCGGAGGAGTTCTTTACACCATATCAAACGGGAAAATTTCCCTATAAATCGATATTTCAGCAATGACGACAGAAACCATTTGCACATCTAAAGATAATTAATGTGCTACGGTAATAGAGAAGAGCGACTGGAAGCGTGTACCGTAATTTATTGGGTGAAATAATGGAGATGAGGTAATCCATTCGATAATATTGCTACCATACCCCTGCTGCTGATTACTACTTGTAAACTGGAGTGTTATGATATGCATTCTGCAGCGGGAAAAAGAAAAGCAAGTCACTAATCAGCAACCCTTGGAGCATTCATCCGTCTATCTTTTACATCGCTCAAGTGACAGATAGGATGACGAATATGTACACCCAACCTGTTCTTTTCTTCCTTCTCTGACACTATGGTATGTATAGATAGCGACAGGTCACCACTCTATGATTCTTAACAAGCGGTCGTATAAGAAAGAATATTATTTAGTGCGACGAACTTTACGTCATTTGTGAGTGAAATTGGAGTTTCGAAAATAAACAGAAATAAAAAAATAAATGGAAAGGGCAAGGAAAGAGTTTGTGTTTGAGATATCCTGAGCTTCAGTGTTTGTCCTCTCGTTGTTGGGAATGTAAGGAATAAATCAATAAAGTAGTTTGTCTGATGTTGTCTGATGACGTCATTCTAGCGATGCAGAAAGTATAGAGGATTGAATGTAATACTTTCCATTTCTATGATTACCATTTCCTTACTTCTCTGAGTACAATGATAGTGATATGATAGTCACAAAGTTTCAAAGTTTGCATAAAATTTCAAGTGAATTCAAACTATCCAAATTGCAGGTTTTCTCATACTGTTTTACTATAAAAAGATGGAGAAAATACACTAAGAAATTGAAGTATTTTCATAATTTATGTATTATTAACGATCATGCGGGATAAGCATTAATGGGAGTGCATTGTGTATGTCTGCTGAAAGTTTCACAAGAAATCCTGCATCTGATAGTCATCGGTAAGAAGAGCCAGTCAGCAGAGGTGTGGCACTGGTCTTCACTAACGGGAGATAAGTGCCATTGTCGCATTGTATGCCATCTATTCGATAGCAGTGTAGTCCGGGATGGCACTGCGACAGATAGTAGCATACTGTAAACTTAATAAGTATAATGAGAATAATGACAGAAGGGGAGAACCGTTTCAATCAACTCCGTTGAAGAATTTGAAATATAGAAAGGTAGGTAAGCGCACCTTTCAAAGCAAGAGTAATCAAGTGGTAAAGGGGTATATGGAAGCGGAAGATGAATGACGGAGTTGATCGTAATTGATGTTCATCAGAATCCATCCATCAATGATACACTTCCAAACAGACAAACAAGAAGCGAACAGAAACAAGCTATGCGTATGAATTTCTACGGATGTTGCAGAAATATATTTGTAGAACTGCATGGGACATTTCGAGCAAAGTTACTAAGATAAATGACAGGGCCGAAGGTAATTAGTTATCTTAGACAAATCTTGATAGTATCAAATGCTTGTGTTCATGTAATAGCTGGCTAGTTTTTGACGTGAGTTACTTTTAGAGCCTTTTATAAATTTAAACATAGGTAAGTTTTGATTAGTCCAACAAATCGTCATTTCCCTTCAAATGTCATCGTAATCTTTTGCATATTCGCTTTCTACAATCTACACTCCATTTCATTCTTACTGACAATCATCTAAGTTTAAGATGAATTAATTTTCAAACGAATAAGAAATAATACCAATAAACTTCAGGTATCATAACAGGAAGTTTTACGATGAGCAAAATTGTTTGTTATGACATTTTGATCAGACTGAGGCAACTGTGATGATGTTCAGAGCATTATACCGTTAATTATGATTACCATTGCTATCACTGTTTATATTGTAAGTATCTTTGCTATCATAATATGACGGTAATTTATATATTCAGATGAATATAAAAGGAAGCTGTATGGTAATGTTGGTAATGGAAGTGATGGTTAGACTAAGATGTTTAGAGACCGGAATTCATCTTCCGATACGATGAGAAACTGCAACGAGATAACGCAAATGTTATCATGCCATAACTATATAAGCTTTTATCATCTATCAGTTGCCCATATCAGAGATCTTCTATGCTGACATTTGTTCTTGCTTCCCAATATGTGAATAACTGTAGCCCTTCATCTTCTATCCAATAGCTTTATTGGGAAATCATTAATGTCATTTTGATGCCTGAAGCAATTGCTGCAATAAGCAGTTGGACAACAACAATATGGCAAAGCTGATCAAGAAAAGAGACAAAATCCCATAATTATCATTGATGGTGCAGGACATTTATTTCGTGGCTCATTGATTATTATAATGATTAATATTGAAATATATTTGCAATCTTCAAGTTCAAGTGATAATCTGATCGTCAGTTTTTATCTTACTACTAGCTTTGTTGGCTAAAAAAAACTTTTGAAAAATAGAAAATATAGCACTTAATGGATTACCGAAATTAAATCTCGTTAAAATGAAATTTATGTAATATCGAGCGAACAGGATGATGCAATCGTGCAAGTAAAATTAAGGCAAAACACTACAAGGATGTAAGCTTGAGAAGGATGTAAGTTAACAACAGGGGATACTACAAAGAGATTTTAGCACGTCTGCAGTAAAGACCAAGGATCAGCTAATGTCCATGAACAAAATAGTTTGTTAAATGGAAAAGAGTTGTTAAATCAGTCTGATGAAATGGTAAGAAAGAAAAGAGAAAGCGCACGTTTCTTATATGTTTAATTTCACAATGCTTGTGAGTATACAATATTTTTTGTTGTCCCATTGTCTGTGCAGATATAGAGATTGTCTAGTTTGTCGATTCTAGAACACGCAACATATAATTCTCCATGTGAGAAGCAGTCCGTGTCTAAATTTGAATCGCGTAATTCTAAAGATTGGCCCTGAGCTTTGTTGATAGTCATTGCAAACGTTTATCGAATTGGGAATTGCAATCTCTTAAATTAAAATGGCATATCCTTTGGAATCATAGGAATACTAGGAATGGGGATATCACACCACCATTAAAAAGCCTCTGAAGATTGTTGCTTCTACGATGTTGTCACCAATTTTTTGACTACAAGCCGCATGCCGTTGCAAATTGATTGATATTTCTTTGGCTGATTGATATTTCACAACACGATAATTGGCACACCGATTTTCAATTGCAGTGGGGTGACATTCCTGATAGATTGAGTAAATTCAAAAGATCTGTTGAATAATTAACCGCTTCATCTGCTTCCACAACAATGTCGACAGAGTTGTATGTGACCGCCCCGCTTTGAATATTAAACTGAATAACATTGTTAAGTTCGTAGACGTCTCTGTTTTCGGCTGCAAGAACAAATCGTCCACTTAACCAATTCTTATAATTGGTTTCAATATTGGGATATACTTTCTCAACCAATTCTTCTTTTGAGGTTACTAAATTGCGGAAATTATGAGGCAATGGAATTCTTTCTGAGGTCAGATCAGCCGGGACCTTTCCTAATTTCTAATTTCTTCTCAGTAATTAATGTGAGAATATCTCAGCTGATCGATAGTTTTGCAGCTGGACACGCTACTTTTAATTAATTTTAACGTCTTTACGTTTCGCCACAAAGTAGAGTAT